TTTTACCTCCTCGCTGCCAGATCGGGTGCCGCGCAGCCCTGCCGCGCCCGGGGGCTTTGCTCCAGCCTCCTCCGCACCGGGGTTTATATTGCGCTCAGCTGCGGCAGCCTCGCCGCGCCTCCCCAGCCCGCACGTCCTCCCGCCACAGACACGAGGTGGGGGGAAGCTACCAAGGCCAAGAACACCCACACTGCTCCAGGTTACCTGTAAGAGTCCCTTCGGTACAGCTGAACATGCGTGCGCCCCAGGAGCACAGCTAACAGCAGAAGTCAAAGCAGACTGCAGGTTACTTTGCAGCCATAAATAACTTCATTTAGGCGTCAAGTTTGTTTTGAGACCGTTTTTCCACAGAACTATTCCCCACCTCTGAGTAAAAGTAGCATGTTTACACGTGCTACACAGAGGAATTACTTAGGTGGCTTTTTTTAAAAGCTATGGGTTGGTTTGTTTTCAGGTTTGCAGCTTTAATTGCTACATCAGATCTCCTTCCGCAGTTTTTTTTCAGCAGGACATGTAGTGCCTACCCTCCTCATAGCTGTAACCTGTCTTCACCCTTGAAAGCTGCACCGTACTAGAACTCCCCAGACAGATGCAGAGCAAATAAGACAGAAGAGGAGCTGCTACACGGGTTGGCAGCACCTAGACCTTGTTTTCTATCCTGCAAAGGTCTGACACGGAGTGAAAGGGTATGGAACCAGGCTAGACACACCCACCACCAAAAAACATCTCCCACAGTAAAAGCCAAGGAACAAAACAGCACCAGAGCAATTTATTTTAAATACAGTGGCACTAGATAGTGGCTTTGGGGAGAACATTTCTCTTACATAATACTGTTACCACAACAGAGCTGTGTTAAAACCCTGTAATTTTACAGCATTAAGAGGATCACTTTGCTGTATTTTCAAACATTCCCTACCAGGTAAATTTAAATTAGAGTACTAACTAAATCTAGCTGTTATCTTGAATTTCTTTTCAGAGGGTAATACAGTTCTCAGGAAGTTACTGTAACCTGTCTGGAGCTACCAAACAGCAGAGTGGATGCTGAATCCCACTCAGGAGTTCCCACTGACCCCTTCCCAAGGGTGGCAGTACTGCAGGCAGACAGAGCAGCTGCCCACTGTGACTGAGCAACACTCTTGTAAATAATAATAAAGAAAGTACCTTCATAAAAAGTGAAGATGTATTTAGGAGAGAAGCTGTCAGACCCACTTGTAGCAAGAGCTTGAAAGTAGACAGTGAGACGTGAGGAGTCCAAGCCTCAAGACAGCAGACTTTCAAAAGCATTGTACTGCCTTAACCTGACTGGTTTAACCAGTACCTAACGTGCAATGCCCAGGAGTTGCACAAGGCTGAACACTTTTAGTCAAGGAATCTCTCACACATCTCTTCCCAGACAAGACTAAACACAGATCAGGATTTTTTTGAACACATACCCTTACATCTACCTCATAGAATGCTGAGTCAGTAATGGAACACTACTACACCAAATGTAAGTAGTAACAAAGTCAGTTGAACCCAATGAACGAAGTAGACTCTAGTTTCTCCAACACCGATTTGTAAATGAAAATGATCTTTTAAAGATTTTTTTAAAGTTATTTTTCCATGCTATATAATTTTTATTAAACTTACACTACTTACCTCTCAGAAGTGCTTCTAGAGTTGTACTTCAGTTGTTTTCTTTCTCCAGACAGGAATTAAGAAATTTTATTCACCAAGAAGATGGATGTTATAAGTTTAAGTGCTTCACGTACCTTTTGTTCGGACAATCTTATAATGAATTTCCATGTGTGATTAGATTCTACACTAGCAATTAGACAAATATAATCCATATCTGATAGTTTTACTTCAAGAACAGATTTGAATTCCAGATTAAAAGTAGCAGAGAAAACCAAAGCAAGAGGAACCCAAGGCTACATCAAGTCGTCCAAGAGGTTTCCACTTCTCTTTCTTGGTTTGTCCCTACATTGGCATTTCTAAAGATTTAATCTGAAACTACACAGTGAATGAAGCCTCTGAACCATATGAATTCTCAAAGCAGAACAAGTGAAGACGCACTTTTCCTTTCTCATGCTTATCAAGGGTAGACCAGGTGGCTGCTTTTGCCTACTGCAGTCAAAGTCCTCTTCTGAACTGCAATGAATAGTTGCTAAGAAAAGGGGTCTGTGGAAAAGTGAACAGGAGCCACGGAAAGACTAAAGCACCAGCAAGGTTGCTTTGCATGCAGGGAAATACTTGAGAAAGTCACAGTTGTCCCAGCCACAATCTTTGTTCAGACTCAGGGGCACAAAGAGAACTCTAGAGACCAAAGTGCAAGAGCTCATCTCATTATTAGCTACTGCAAGAACATGAGGCAACAAAAACTAAGAGGCAGGAAAAAAAATCTGAGGCAAGTGTAATAGAATGTTAAGTCAAACAAAAATATTTTGCTTTAATAACAAGTTTAATATCAAGATCCTTTCTATTTGCACAAACCCTGAACTCCGAAGTCTTAATAAGCAAACATCTGCTATGCTCTATGAACAGTAATTTGGCATTGCTTAATAACATCATCACTGGATTAGCCAGAAATTACCAGCAAGTATCAACTACATTTTAGAGAAATAGTGAATCCTGTTATTAACAGATACTCAGTATTTTTGTCTTATCCCAGAATGGTACTTTTTATTATCACATGAAAAAAACTTGATGACATAGAAATCCTGACAACGTAGCTACAGACAACATGGTTCTAATACAACTGACTTCAGAACAACACTGACAGATGCATTTTATGCAGCGTAAGTGTAAACCAGACTCAGACTTCAATGAAACTGAAACCAAGTTTATGAAGAAAAATTCTCAGTGTAAGTTCAGACTGAAATTAAGTTGAGAGAAGATTAAACAAGACACAGTTTTTCAAGATGTATGGTACTGTAGTTGAAGTAAGCTTCATTATTATGACCATTTCAACAGTAAGTTTGCAAACACTCACAATGCAATGGCCACTTCATAAAATTACACATATTGAACAGTAAAATAAAGGAAAACCAAAATTTAGCAGCATGTGGTGGTATAAAAGAAAATCAGAAAATTTAGCTTGCGGTTTTGAAATCCTTCAAGCTACATACTTATTTCACCATAACAATCAAACACAAATACAGGTAGGTGAACAGCAGAATTTCTACAAAGTGACTCATTTTTAATAGGATGAATACACTTGTTCTTCCAAAAAATGGAACGGGTATACACACAAATGAGACAGCATGTGTCAGAGGCTTAGTGGCCCAGAAGGTTTTTCATTTCAGTGAATCCATCTGGATTTCCATACTTGTTTAAAAGGAAAAGCAGGATCTGTTCATGCTTTTTAAGCTGTGGAATAAGCAGAAAGAATTAGAAATACAATTTTTTTTTTTTTTAATTGCTGTTTTCAGATGAGGGTAGATCCTAAAACCACAAACTCAGCTAAGTCCTGTATTAATTCAAGGAATATGCAGATCCTTTCTGCTGCAAAATGTTCCGGATGGGAAAAAGCCAGCAGAACTAAAACCAACTTCCCCCTGCCCACCCTCCTTCTCCTGAAGAAACTTCCTTGAACAGAACTGATAAAGTACTCAAAATAGGACTGAGATCAGGATCTTAAAATTAGTTATTCACAGGTCTCTTTCCTGAAGTTTTCAGTTATATTGGAATCTTCCATCTTCTCTTCCTGTCATGAGACTTGAGCCAAACTTAACCAGGCAAGGAAAGATGGCAGCAAACAAAGTGATCAAACTGAAGTCAGAAAAGACATCAGTTAGGTCAAACTGGGTGATCAAAGGGATAACAGGGTAAGGGAAAGGAAGGTTTAACAGCCTACAGTGGGACAGAGAAGTCAACCACATTCAGCAACAGCACAGATTTACTGCCCTCTGCCACTAAACTGCTGGTAACTAAGGTTACCTCAAAGCAGTCAGGGTCTAAATGACCTTGAACAGAAATGCTTTTTTCCTACCTCCAAAATATCATAGTGCATATTTTTGATTTGACCTTGCTGCCTCTGGCTGGGGAGAGAGGGGCATGTTCAAACCACCCTTGAAAGGGGTTTGTGCCTCTAAAATTCAAAATTTTGCTGATTCCTCTGACAAAGATCCTCACTTTGAGAAAGGCTGATGCATCTTTTCTAATATATTTTTAAGCTAATTTTTAGCAATCTGAAGTTATGCTTTTGATAAATAGCCTAAGTTAAAATTAAAAAAAGCTTTAAACCAGAAAGCTTTCAAAAAGGCAAAAAAAATCCCTTGCTAGTGACAAATATGGTTACAAATTCCAGTGTTCTGAACTAAGATTCTCAGCTCTAGCTCCATGACTGACACTGTAGCACATTAATCTCTGAAACACACATTGTGAGAAAATTCTTACATGTGCAGCTGTCTGCCAAGTTGCCTCCACAGCAAAACACAGCAGTATTACTGAAATAATCCAGATGCCCTTAGTTCAAATAGTTTATGCAAAACACTGCAAGTACCTTTACACAGCATACAAAAGTAACATTCCTGAGCCCTCATACTCTAGAAAAAACCAAACCACAACACACACACAAACAACAAACCAAGTAGAGCTGTATGTGTGCCAAAATGCAAACTGAGGAAGTCTATGTGAGGATACATTATCCTCCCTCAGTTTCAGGATGCTCTAATTATTACCATATAAACTAAGAAGTAGTGCTGGGACATTCACTTTGAATATCTTCAGTGTTTCAGTTAGCTACCATCTCCCCACTCCCATGTGATTTCCATACAAGGTTTTTTTTTAAAATTCTCAAAACATAAAAGCATGAGCACTGCTTGGACTGAATCTTACCTGCTCTTTTAGTTCCATGCAGCAACATTTGGTCTCACCTCCACTGCCTACAAAAAACAAAGCAAGTGAGTGAGCAAAATACACATGGACACTGCTTCCCTCATTTAAGAGGTGATGTGGAATTCTAAGATATTTAGAAGGAAAAAATCATTTAGGCATTTCACATGCCCACAGTTCTTCAAATTAAGTAATCTGAAGTAATTAAGTGACAGTATGTACCGTGATGTTCAGCATGTAAGTTTTCAGCACTGCAGACTTTGACCAAACCTTCCATTACCAGTTTGTCAACTACATTCACACTACCATTTTCACTGTGTTTCACCACTGTTACTATGTTAGCATTTCCATTAGTCCCTTTCACTGTAATTGTGACATGTTTATTCCATAACATTTCTTTCAATTTGTCAAGTAATAATGGAGACCACGTGGCTTTCTCTATACCTGCAAAAAAAACGTACAATCAAGGTTGTTCTTCAAAATTTGCTTCTTGCATGTAATGCTATCACTGCTTTTGAAAAATATGATACTAAATTTTCCTAATATAAATAGCTTAGATCTGACAGATAACCAAACCCATGCTTTCAAAGCCAGCCTGCACAGCAGTAACCAGTATACTGTTGCAGCAGATCAGAATTGTTTATACTGTTCATTGCTTTATACTCATAATCAGGATATAGATCTAAAACATTCAGAAAAACCAGTCAAGGTTTTTTGTTTGTATGGTTTATTTTTTACCTGCAAGTGAACATGTAATTGCCTGAAAAGGCAGCGTTAAGTAGGAATTGGGGATTGGCAGCACTTTTGAAAATGGTAAAGTCTCTGTGTTCCCATAGTCTGCATACAGGACTTTCACAACAGACTGAGAAGCTTTTAGAACAAGAGCTCTGTACCACTGGCCATCACCTGAGAAGATGGAGACAGAAAGAATCACAAGTTTACACACAGCTTATCCCAAGAACAAGAATCTGCAAAGATTTCCAGGAACTTTTAAATACTCTGCTCTATCCAAAAGGCCGGCTGACAAGAAGCAAGCCCCACAGAACAACAGAATAGTGTGACTGCTCTATTCACCTAGCTATACACTCTCATAGTCTGCCTAGTATTTTTTTCATTTATCTACCCTTATTTTCCATGAGTTATCTGACATAGAACCTAAGTTCATTTTCAGCACTTGTCAATCTCTGGTAACAATCCACACGCAGTCAACATTTAACATTTATGAACCAACACTATTTTTTTTAAGAAACAAACAAACATTGAGCTAATACCTCAGCTGCGTATCCCCTCTTCTGAATAATTAAGACAATAAATTAAGTTGCTGCACTGTTAAGAATTCTTTTGACTTGAACTAACAGTTTGCTAGGCCTGGAAATTGTTAGGGTAACAAGGCTCAATGATCAGTTGTCACAGCCAGTGTCACCACCCGATGCTTCCACAAAGGAACAACAGAACACCACCCAGGCAACCACAGACCAGAAGCTGGTCTGCACAGATGCAAATGCACTATTGCTCTGCCATGAACTTCATGCTCCTGTGACTCAAACAAATTTCAGTTTAAACAGTAACTAGCTTCATTTTTTTCCAAAAGCTCCATATATTTGGCAGGGCACAATCTATTCCTTATATTCTCTCCAAAACTGTCAGAGGGTATCTTTGCCCTACAGAAGCAGCCAGGCTATACTTCATAACAGAATTAAGAGCACTTTAAAGTTGGCAGTTTTCCTCCTTCTGAAGGAAAAAAAAAAAAGTCTTACAGTGCTCAAGGAACTACAAGAAAAACACCTGCCTTACCTGAAAACCTGGCACAACATGCTTCACCCACTTTTGGTTTGAAGAGCCGGCTCTTACACGATTTACAGTAGCCTTCTAGATCAAGCATTAGCCTTTGCAGCCTCTCTTTAGCTACAGAAAAAAAAAAAATATATATAATTAACCATGTTTGCCTATAATGAAGAGCATCCTCACTTTTAAGCTCTCATACTCCCACCTTTGGCATTTTAAATGATACTTTTCTACTGTGTGAGCTACATTTCAAAATTATTCAGTCTGCTATAGTCCATTTTATTAGCTAGCTTGCAACAGTGACTTCTTTCTGATATCAGGGAACAGTGAACACTCTCTTACCTTTGTTTTGAACGGGTACAGCATAGAATAAGTCTGGGCTTGCAACTTCTGTTACACAGACAGACATGGTTTCATCTACAGCCAATTCAATTGACTTCCAGTGCCCAAGTGAGGTTTCTAACAAACAGTAAGAAAATGCAGTGTACCAGTTTCATCCAAGCACATATATATTTTAACTGCTACAGACCATCTTTTCAAATCCTAAGAGAAAACTGCATGTCTTTGAGAAGAGAAATCTAAACCAAGATAATTCTTGCTTACTTTGCCGTTCATATACTATTAGCAGATAAATGTAAAGTAAAAAACACCACAGAAAAATAATGTATTAGAAAGTAAATGTGGGTAAAGTTTCAGTCCTAACAAATTTGCAGTTCTCTATCAGATACTGAAGTGACATTCTTTTAAGACAAACCTGTCGATTTTTATCTTTCTGTCTGTAATGCCACCTGCAGGGCAGCTTATGTTTAACTGCATGAACTGCAAGAAGTGACAAGAAAAATCAAAATCATGCATGTTTATTATCAACTATGGCTAAAGAGCAAGATCACGGTTAAAGGCTGGAATACTAAAAATTCTTGTTCAATCTAAAAGATAGCATTCATTTAATTACCTTTTTTGTCAATGGACTTCTTTGGAAAGTTATTTTTACCTTGTAGAACTTCCTTTACAGCCAACTTTTCAGACGTTAATATCTCATTGATGACTTTTGGATGACCTGTGGAATTGTCAGTAAGCTCTACACCAGCCCCAAATCTGGAAAGTGAAGTTACTCTGGCCTGAAGCTTTATCCCTGCAGCGTACATACAAAATCTTGCTGTAGCTTCTGGAATCCACTTGCTATTAATAGGCTTTATACCTAGGAGGTAGGAGAACTGTTCAAAATAGCTCCATCAAGCAACTTACTGCAATGTTATATTTTCCTTTTTAAAATTCCCTTTATTTTTTTTAAAGCACAACTCTAAATACCAACATTACCTCTACTGCCTTAGGGACAGACATTGTACTTTATCCTGTTAACTGGTCTCCTGCTTCCCCATTTCTCCTAAATAAAACCACATTTCCTCAGCACACCCAAGTTTTGCTTTTCTGCATTTTAAGTTACTCTACCAATACCTGTGCCTTGGTATAAACAACACCATTAAGACTGTTTATAAGTCAGTTTCATACAGCTTTTTTTATCAAAGGAGCAGAAAACCAAAGTGTTTTAAGAAACCAAAAAACCCCACTAGAAGACACCTTGGGTTTTGAGCTTTTCCCCCCCCCATTTCCACGTTTTTTTATTTTTAAATCACGTAGACTACACTATAAACAAAGAATAATTCTGTAGAATAGAATGATTTGGTGTGGAAAAGGAGGAGGCAGAGAATTGATAGAAGACTGCAAAACAGCAGCATTGTGCCAAACCACAAGAATCAAATGAAACATTCCTACAGAGACCTGAAAGGCCAACCTGCTTCATAAAAACAGATGAGCTTTTTTGCCTTCAAAATTTTTGAGAAATAATGAAGTTTAATAATTATTATTATAAGCACATTCACTCTTAGCAAGGCAGCAACCAAAAGCTAGCAAGTGCTACAGATGAAGCAGAACTAAACGACAGTGTCCTTCTGACTGGTAGAGCAGTAAGTAACCTCCATGCAGATCACTCCAGGAGCTCAGGCAGGAGCCAGCACCTTTCTGTTAAATGCCTGTGTGCTCTGCAGTAAGGCTAGAACAGCTCCCACAGTTCCCAGAGGCTGGAAGCAGCACAGACGGTTACTATAAAACAAACAGGACAAAACCGCCCAGGTTCTGTGGCGTATACCCTGTCATCACTACCTTCCCCCAAAGCAAGTCTCTGAACACAACACCTCTTATAAGAATCTGTAAGCATATCCACCTGAGAGCCAGCATTTAATTCCTTGAGCTGGAAGTGTCAGGAATGAGGAGGAGATGTGCCGGATTTTATCCAGTGGGACTTCGGCAACGTTTCCATAGTCCACAAAGCACACTTCAGCAGTTCCATGGGAAGTGACGGTTTGCACCAAAGCACGGTACCAGTTACCATCATCTGATTTTGAAAAAGTTTAATAAGAATAATTATTTCACACATTTAGTAAATTACCAGCACTTATTTTTTAGTAAATGAACTCAATTCTTTGCTTTTCTGCCAATGCAAACTGATTAGCTGTCTGGTTTTTTTTGTTTTATGCTCACTCTGTGGAAAAAAAAAAAAGGTATTTTAGTCTGCTACTTACCAGAGAAAAAAGCACAGCAAGGTTCTCCATTCTCAGGCTTAAAAACATTTGGTGGAGTTTTCTTACAGTATTCAGACAATGATTTGTTAAGTAAATTCAGAGCAACTAACTCTGAAAATTAGAAAGAAAACAAGATTAACAAAATAAGCCGACTTGAACTTTCATCAATACTGTTTGCCATATATACCTTTCTTATACAAGATTTGATGGAAGATTTATGTGAATTTTATATTTTCATAAGAAAAGAATCATTTACACCTGGTTAGCTATTTAACTTACTAGACAGACTTAGCAGGTGATAGCTGGTATTTACTGGCAAATTAGTTCAGTATTATAGAAAAGTTACCAGTAGTTGTTCCTGCTAATCCAACAAGCATCCTTTACTCCAAAATCTAAAGTGTATTTACATCCAGGTAACACCCTGGCAATTATCTAGTTCGGCCAGCACATATGACATTACTGGATCTCACCCTGCTTGCTTATTTTTATATCACATCTTTTAGCCTAGTCTGTAACATCACTTTTAGGGAGGAATTCAGTCATGTTTTAAAGGTGATAACACATGAAGAATCCATACTATTCCTGGGTAAGTCAAGGAATAAACTTCCCTTACTTTTAAAGATCTGCCTTGTATTTTTGGTTTCCACTTCCAGCCAGTGAATTTAATTACACTTTCTCTAGTAGAGTAAAAAGGCAGTGGATATCAGAAATCTTTATACATGAAAATAGAGAACAAATTTTTTCTTTGAGCTTATCCAAGAGGAAATCAAGTGTCAAAAGCTGCATTTTCTCATTTTCATGTTATTTTGTCTCTTTAGAATCTAAGTTTTTATAAATTAGAACAAGACAGAGTACTAGAGGAGAGCTCCAGTAAATGATGTATGGGCACATGAACACATCTCTTATTTGACAACTTCTGTTTAGATATTCTTTGCCTAGGTTATGGCAGCTCTTTTCACTTTTCTCTACATTCTTAAATTAAGTTTTATTAAACTGCTTACCATCAACTTTTTCACATTTCAATCTCAGTAACTATATACAATCATCCAATTACCTTCATCATTCCACTTGTATTCTTAGATAAAAAAAATTATAAAGATAAGCCTTGGTGCTATAAGCTCACTTGAAACAATGTATTAGAACTATAATAAATAACAGTTTGAAAAAAGGAAGCAAAGAAACTAGCAAAATGAAAAAAGCTGAATAAGCTTACCATTGTTATTTGAGATCTGACAGTAGAATTCTCCTGGACTGTACACTGAACACACCATGACATCTACTGTTTGGTTAAGAGTTACTTTATTCCAGCTGAAAATTCTTTTGTTTGTTGTGTCCTCTAGAGAGGACAGAGAAGAGAGATGTAGAGGAAGGAAAAGAAATTAAAATAAGTTTTACAGGAAAAAAAATTATACATCCTGAAAGACATGCATGACCTTGCATTTTTTGTTATAAATAATCCAACAGACTAATTACCAGTGAGAGCCTCTTTGCAGAATGAAACCAAGCAAGAGAAATGTGCCAGATGTGTAATGTATTTGATCACTACTGGGAAGGGCAAGCTGTGGATGAGCGGGGAAAAGCAGTGACATAGGAACAGAGCAGGTGGCAATAACCTGAGCAAGAGGGAGACTCAGAAGCCTTGGTTCCTGGGAAGCAGGGTAGGGGCTTTGAAAGAGCCATCACTGAGAGCACTGGAAATAGTCTAAGGAGGAAAAAGAACAAAAGGATCACTAGACAGACTGGTTGCAGAAATGTGTACATTATACTAAAATGCCCGAAAGAAGCTTATTGTTTAACACAAGTTATAGAATAGATCAAGTGAAAACTAGAATTATGGCACATTGGAGAAGCCACCATTTCCTCCATTAAGCATTACTAAATCTTTCTGCATTTTTCATAGCTGTTAAGGTTGCTACAGTTCATGGTAGGCAGCAGTGTGCAGAAATACCCTCAGCCTTTCTACAGCTTGAGTGTGCTGACCTCCAGCAAGGGTTTAGGGTTTTTTTCTGAAAACAAAGCTCAAGAAAGTTTTGAGCTTCAAGGATGGCCACGCTGAGATTCTGTTCTGCTCAGCACTGCTTCTGACAAGCTTCGTAACTGTGAAATACAATTTTTTTTATCCTTTTATGTGATGGTGAGATTTCTTTTTAACAAGTCCTCTAAACAAAAAAAAAAACAAAACAACAACTTTTCTTCATTTCTGGCTAGCTAATTAAGATCTACTCTTATACCATGCCAGACCCAGCAATCACAGATTTAATCACGAAATTTAAGTACAGCAAACAAGTTACTGGAAAGTTATTCTGCAAGTTGAGAGAAAAATGTATCTGTTCAAATTCCAATATAAAACCCACAAGTTTTAAAACTCTTAAGACAAAAGTTGATAATTTGTTTAGAACCTGCATCCAGAAGCTCCCACTTGGTGTGAGAAATTAAAAAAGGTAAGAAGTAACTAAGAAACCTAAGAAGTATATGACAGGTCCTGGATGATGGCAATGGATCAAAATTTCATACAAGATTCCTTACCCTTATGAACAAAGATAAGTAATAACCATGTCCTGGCCATAAGGTGTGTAGTGAAGAAGATGAAGGGGCTTGGACACAGCCTAGACAAAAAGACTTCCCCCAATTTTCAGTACAGATGGATCAGGGGAGAACCTTTCTTTTACCAGACACAGGATGGAAAAAGAGGGGCTTAACATGCTTCATATGAAAGAAGCTAGGAATCTTCCACAATACAGAGAAATCTGACATAAAACTTGCACATCTCTCAAATTGAAGGTTTGACCACTGAATATAAAAAAGGCAATTTAGGCACAGCCTTGAAGTGTAATAGGTTACTGCAGTCAAATAGATTTTCAAGGACTAAATATGTAGGTTTACATGTAAAATATAAGTCAATAAAGATTAAATAGTATTTGACCTAAAGGACAAGGTACTAAGGACAAGGTACTAAGAACAAGCAGGCAGTAACTAGTCATATACTACTTCAGCTGGAAATTGTTAAGACTTCTTACCATAGTAAGTGAAATACTAGCACAGTGTTCCAAAAGCCAGCAACTCGGTGACACATGCACACAGGTACACATACAGATACAGAAGCAATTTCTTCATGGCAAAGTCATCACAGCTAAACATCAGAGCTGTGAAGGCTGGACAGACTTCATGAGCCACACTGGAAAGCTCTTACCAGTTAAGAACATGCACTCCTTGTACCCACTGTAGCAGGATCTGCTCACACTCACCCTCTGCTGGCTCCACGCCCTGCAGTGCGGGTGCTGGCGCGGCCGCCCTCGACTCCTCGGCCGCGCAGCCTCTCGCGAGGAGATGGCGCGAAATGTTTATTGCTGGAGTAACTGATGCATCCACCAGCTCCACCACAGAACTGTAACTTTCTTTAGCCACTACTTTTATTGTTAACACTTTGTCTTTCACCAGTTGGCTCATATAGGAAATAGCGTTTGAAGTCCACATTCCTGATGGTGGCTTTACACCTGAAAAGTCACACAATATGGAAAGGTTCTGAGGATAATTCAAGCCTCAACAGCTATGTGGAAAGGTAGAGCAACGTGGTTTGAAACAGCAGGTTGAGCAGCATGTATACCAACTCACTCAGCCCTACTCCTCATGCTGTAACAAGATTCTAAATCCAGTTATTTACATTCTGAATTTTTTTTTTTTTTTCAGTACTCTGATTTAATAAAAATCTGACAGAGGCCTGAATTCCAAGATATAAAATGAAATTTTACCTTCCTCTGCAGTGCTAAAACCACAACAGATTTAAGGATTCCACAAATCCAGTAGGTGACAGTTTTGCTTGGAACAAGAGCACAAAACCTAACAGGTATGTTAACACTTTTTTCCAAGCATACAACTGCAGGTCACCAGGTACATTAGGAAAGATTCGTCACATTTTGTAGGTACGCCACTATAATTAAGAATTCTGTAAGCAGCACCTATGGTTATGCCCATCCTTCCCCATATTCACTGTAAGATAATACAGGTGTGATCACTATCTTACCCCACTTATTTTGCTCCTATCCAGTGGAAAACAGCTTATCATTTACGCCATACCTGCCAAGGTACATCTTATGGCTTGAGCTGGCAAGTCCATTAATCTTGGAATCATAGGGCGAAGTCTAGTCAGTGGAAGAACTTCAAAATTACCATAATCTAGATAGCCTACCAAAACAGTGTCTTCAGAAGCACAGGCTGTAACAGCAGCACGATACCAACAATTGTCTTCTAGAAAGGAAAATACATGTTTATTGTACTTGCTTTTGACTTCTGAGAACAGAATGATTATTTTGGCAAACCAATATAAAAATAGAACACCAATCAACAGCTAAAACCAGACAAAAATCAACCCTCATCAACAGCTAAAACCATACACAAACTGTATGAAACGCCTCAAATGCAACCAAAATGTGTTTATCTTTTGTAATAAAGTGACAAGTTAAGAAGCATATTTTCACTCCAGTTTTACCTGTGAACTGGGCACAGCACACATCTCCAGCAGCAGGACGAAAATCTGGACTACTGGGTAGTTTGTCACAGTGTTCATTAAGAGCCACTTGAAGCTCAGCAAGTTGACCTGATGGTTAAAATATACAGGTTTTGGAAGGTACACTGCCTTGTAACTATTATAAAAGTACACAAATCTGAAGTTCAAAGCCTGGAAGAACATCTTGTAGTGTAACAGGGATTATTCCACATCATAGTTAATACAGTATCAGAACAGTGATGAGATTAGGACTCTTCAATTGCTAAGATTGAAGAGAATCCTCATGTCAGTCTATAGAATGACAGTGGTAAAGAAGGGAACAGACAGGGAAAAACAGACTTTTTCAACACAGAAACAAAACTGAAGGCAGCAGGAGTTGAAAGCAAGCTAGCGGAGGCATGCTAGAAAGAAAGCAGGAAGCCAGCTCTTCAAACAGATGAGTGCCACTTCCTGCTAAAGGACACACTATGCTGTCAGTCAGCCCAGAACTCAAGGGCTGCACAAGTACACAGAAGAGAAATCCACTGTAGGAGATACACCAGATCCCACCCAGCTGCAAAAGCCCTTTTAACTGAAAAAAAATCCTGCTGCCTTGGACAGCACTAGGACGACACAAGCCACAAGTTTACTGCACTCTTATTCTCCCCAGACATCTGTTTATGGGCACCATGGGACATGCACCAAATGTCCCTTCAGACCAGCACTCTGGCCCACCATAGCATCACTTGGTTTTATGTTTTACTGTATCAGAAGACATCAAAGCAACATTTGAGCACTACTATCTGGCCTTCTCAAACTCGGATATTCTCAACGTACTATGCAAGGAGGCAGTTCAGTCCACACACACAGCATTTAAGGAAACACCTCCCTCCAATGGTAAAGCAACAAGGCATCAAAGTAAATTACACTCATATGCACTTTTGGAACACATGAGAGAACATATTTAACATTAAGTATTTGTGATGCCAATTGACTTCAGATTGTTAAAATCCATGCCACACCATCTTTCTACTTTGCACTACTCAGGCTGCCCAGAAGCCACCACCTTACAGGTTAGTAAGTGATATTAACAACAGCATGGCTCTTAACTGAGGCCTGGGCTAGTGCTACAGGGAGTCACCATCTCAGGTCACACTATGAGACCAGCAACATCTTCCTCCAGCCATTCCCTCCTGGTAATGGAAAAGATGCCACACTAGGTATCTTACATCCTGTTTTCACCACATCACTTACGGCCACTCTGCGTCTGCTGACAGAAAAAGTTTTCTGGGTTTTGGATGCTGGAAACCACCCCAGAAAATTCATCTCCGATACATATGGAGACACACACTGCATCTGAATTAGCATAGTGAAGAACTTCAGGTGATTTTTCTGTACTTCCCTCAGAATGGTTTTCTGACACTGTATGTTACAAAAAAAAAAAACAAACACAAAAACAAAACACAGCAGTAAGAACAATGAGGTTACTGATCAAAAGCTGAATGATTTTGAAATGTGCAACCTCAGCAGCTAGGATTCAGAGACTCAAACTATACTAAGTTAAACTACAAGATTTAAACATGCTGAAGCATTTTATTCCTTTTGCTGACTCTTCAGAATTTGAAGGCTCCTGTCACATTATCCATGAAATTAATGGTCACAATCATCACTAAACAAGTGCTTTATACTATTAAAAAGCTTATGTGCTACTGTCGCTAGTGAATTAGTGAAGGCAGCTCCACTAGCCAGTGTTTAAGTAGGAGGCGACACTGGTGAACAGCTAGAATATTCACTACGTACAGAAAATCATGTGACATGGGAGGACTTAAAATTCCCCAACTTTTTTCCATCTCTTACTAAGTTTGATTTGTTTGCTTACCTCTTGGAGAGTCTGCTCCTTCAGCATTGCTTCCTGGAGTTAAAGACGATCTTATTTCTAAAGGTATTTTATCTAGGCAGTCTCCTAAAGTACAAGTGTAAAAAAAGTAATTTACCATACAAAATAGTCATCCTTTAGTTTTATTTCAGAACCATCTTCTGAGCCCAACCTATATCCCTATCACAAGGTAAGCATGTTCTACTACTTTGTGGAACAATTGAAACACTCAGAATGTAAAATAAAAGTAGTTTCAGAGTAACTCAAGTACTTTAAGTTTTCTGAAGACATTCAGAGCTCCAAGAGTGTTTAACAGCTTTTCAGCCAACAGCCTTTAGTGACTACAAGTAACAGATTACAGCTTTTCACACAAGGATTCACAGCCTACCTCCATACTTACAACACCGAGTATGCAACGTTACCAAGATTTACAAAGAAATATTGATTTTCTTAGCTACTACATATCCCATTTCTGATGCATGAAGCAGTATTCCAAGCTTTCTATATAATTATTTTCAACTGAAAACCTGACTACAGATGATTGTTGCTTGTGGCATGCATCTATTCCATGACCTTCTATTTAATTAATCCAGTGAGATTTCCCTGATATTCTCTCCAAGAGGTTGGCAAGCTATATTGCTTTGCCATTAGAGTGGTGTAAAGCAACCAAACACGAAATACGCCCAGCACAACCCTGAATCAGTTGAATTTACACAGGACTAAGGAGAACCATGATTTTATATATTGCAAGGGCTATGGCACAGAGATGAGCTTCGAGATGAGCTTACAATTTATCAGGAATTTTAGCAAGTTAAGAGGATCAACCATCACTTCCTTCAAAGTTTTTATGGGCTGCCTATCAATGAAAAGAATATGCTCTTAGCACTATACTGTCCTTTCTCTGCAGCCAGGAAAACATCCCCCCGAAGTAGTCCTCAGAATAGTGACAACAGGCACATCATCTGTGTATTGATCTGGTTCCATAGTCAAAACCACTCCTCCCCAGCCCAACTGACAATCTAAATTTGGACTCCTCAAAGGTCAGGTGCCCTGCTTGTCTCTGTCCACTGAAGTTTGCCAAGTTAGAAACAAACAGCTGACAATGTCCAGTGGCTGCACTTTCTTTGGGACACTTTTTTAGGTAGAATGTATGAAATAACAAAAGCTGCTACAATCATTAGTGGAACTAGAAACTATAATTTTTAAAGAGATAAAAATGCGTGAGAAAAGGAATAACACGTAACCACATTTTCATGCATCTATTAAAATGAAAATAAAGAGGGTAATCCAGAAAATGCTGTATTTATTACAATTATACCAGAAAAGTTACCTTGGTAAAATTTAAGGTTATTAAGCATAACAAGATATTTCAGGCGCAGACATTTTAAAGTGACCTCTACATGAAAAGTTGAAATACAAGAGATTTTTCTTTTTTAAAAAAGCCTGCAATACTGAGAAGGAGGAAAGAAAAGAAACCCTCTCCTCTTTTAAAGGTATTTAATGGGGGAGGGAAAGCAACATGAAAGACTTAACATTTGTAGGTTTGGGTTTGTTTGTTTTTTTTTCTTGTTGAGGGTTCCCCCCCACTACCACTACCAAGTACTTACCAAGATCTGGAAGAACAACTTCTACAGCAAAACTCAACATCATTTCCTCCTGTAATATGTCAACAATGGTTACTGAACAGTGTTTTCCCAGGAGCTGGGAGGAAAAGCTGGCAATGTCTTCATTCCATCCTTTTTGTTTTGGATCATAATTAGCAAAGGAACATTTAATGGCCTGGAAAGGATTGTAATTAGAAGAGAGAATAGGTGGATGTTTGCCCTGTAGAAAAAGCAACTAAATAATTAAGCCCCTCAGAAATACCATCTTGCCTATAAAAGTTAAAGCTGCAGTTGAATTGATAGCCCTTCAAATTCCAAAGGACTTCTTTACAAGAGAGTTAAGAATTGGGAAATGAAGTTCAAACTGTAAACTAAACTTCCTCCAATTCTCCCACTGTTTATGGGGTCTTAGGTAAAGTTGAGCATGTATCACACATCACATCTGACTACAGGTGCATGTCCTAACTTGCCTTCAGCAGATAATAATGGTTTTAAAATGGGATTTAAACAGCTCTCAGAAGCCTTTTATGGACGCAGTAGAAACTCAGGTGAACAAGCTTGGAAAGACTATTTATTGCACTAGCAGCTAATCATAGTTGTCACTGGTTGAAAGAATGCTCCTCTACTATTCTTTGTTAAAACATACTAGTTTAACACACAGATTAAAGCTAGACCATCTATTTTGTAATGGAAGACATCACACAGTATGGCAATGAACCAAGGCCAGCAGCTGCCTTTACTCCAAACAAAGTTTGCCCGAACTACAAGGAAATTTTTGCTACTGCATGAGACCAGATTAGAATGCTCAGGCCAAATGTTTTCCCTGCTGTCCTCTAGCCTGTAAGGCACTTGCAGACCTCACGACCCTGCATGGCTTTTTATTAGTTCAGAACCCAAGAATTCTGGGACTGGGAAGAAAAAAGGCCAGGTAGCCTCCCTTGGTCCCATGGGATTTATATTTTATGTGTTATTTTCACTGAACACAAAATACTGTGATCATGACAATTACACCAAGAGGTGAATCACACTCATTTCAGAGCCGTTCAGCTACGAGAGCTCAGCTACCGTTAGGAAACCAAAACTCACACGTGGAGGTAACAACAGTTCAGTGTCTTTGTGCAGAGCTTGAATCCAAGAGAGTGGAATATTTCCTTCAATCCCATGATCTATATAGAATACTTGTGCTTTCTTTTGCAGTGTATCCACATCTTTCACCAGTGCTCTACTCCAGGTCTGTGTAGGAATAAACAGTCTCAGTAAGAACACATTGTAATTTGCTTTACTTCATTACATTTGTTTATCAACAAAGGCAGTACCCAGTTCTGAAGCAACTCAAACACAGATCACTGTAGTGTTGACTTCTACAAAGAGAAAATTCTACTCCTATGGTTATTTGCTACTGTGCAGTAAACCAAGAATCTGCTAACAATGGAAGAGAAAAAGGGGAAGAAATACTAAAAGGGGTGGGAAGGGAAACAGGTACTAGATGTGGCTAGAGAAATGCAACTAGAAAAGTCAGGTAAGAAATCAGTCAAGAATAATGTCCTTAAATAAGCAGAATCATATTTCAAACTGTTCTAACTACAGTACTTTTAATATGCTAAGAACACACAGACTTCAAGCAGCAGTAGGACAAACTACCTACAGGGCTCAAGTACATAAACACACAGAAGTCAACTTTTTTTGGGGGGTTAAAGGGGCCATTGCCTTAAATGCAAGTTCCAGATGTCATAAAGCCAGTTACTACCACAATAAACTGATCTCTAATTAGCAGCCCTCACTGGCAGAGGCATAAAAGCAAATGATACAAACATGAGCTCCACACAGGCTGGTTACTTCATAGACACTCAGATGTTACCTGATCCAAGGGGTACCGTGCAGCACAGACTTCCCCTCTGGCAGCAACATAGAGCTCTTGAATAACCACGTTAGCATAATGGTCCTGCAGCTTCACACACAGTGTACCAAACTGGTCTAAACCTTCTGGAGAATTCATCTGTATATAAAACTCACTTGGACTCTTGAACTTTGTTACTGTACCCTAAAGAGAAAAGCCATAGTAGATGATATTTATGCAAGAACAACCTACAGTATATTATTCAGGACCAGTGTTCATTTCAATAAATGCATTTCATCCTACACCTGATTTTGTTCTTTTGGTTTGAATCTAGCAGTCATTAACTGCAGGGCACAAAACCAGTTATGTTCACCTTCACAGAAATAATCTTCCTCACTTACTCCACCCAGCCCTGCTTGCACTTACTCATCTTTACATAAAACAAAGGAGTTTTACAAGTGAGCAAAATTAAACAAAGAGCTGAGGTGACACACAGCTACATGTGCTTAACTAAGCTTCAAATGCAACCTAACAAAGCACTGCAGGATTCTTACACAATAAAAGTACCTGTACTTCCATAGCTTTTTTGATCTCTAGAGCCTGGAGATCTGAGAGCATAACTTTCTTCATGTGCTTTTCTGTCTTGGGAGAATCCACAGAGGTTGAATTACCCTGTTTAAAAAAGCTACAAGTTATGTTTAAACTAGAGTTGTTCAGCTGTAGCTCCTTGTAGTAACAAGCAATAAAAGGACTTTTAATAATTTCAAGAAACATGTAAAAAAAGTGGTTTTGTTGATTTTCAATGTATTCCTCATGAAAAAAGAACACTGTCCCAGAGATAATGAAAAACATGCTGAAGTCTCACACATTCACTCTTCTTCCACACCTGGACAACTCAGCTGTACCTCCTGCTTGTGATGCTCTTATCAATAAGAGGAATTGAATCCCACCTGCATCCTTCTGGCCTTAACACCACAGACTAAATGATAGCTAATGTCTTAACTTCTGGCACCAATTTAAAGAAAAAAAGTCTAAACATTTAGTGTAACCTGCTGAATACATACCATCTGTGTCTGTGACATCCTAAAACTATTAGAAAAATAACCTCATCTACGTGCTTGGGGAAAACTTCTTTTCCCTTTGGACCAAGATACCGCAGCCAATGCATGGTGGCTTAAATTACTGCTGCAGTTGTCAAATTAATAGTTTACTTGCAACAAAGATCCATCTACAAGATTTTTTGCATAAAAACACATCTCACACTACAATAGCAAAATACACGTGCAATATAAGTTTATACTAGCAATAAGCACTTTTCTTTCCACAGAATTTACTTGTGTTTCAGAAGACAAACCATGGTAAAATAAACCTTCTGCTATCTCAAAATAAATTGGCTAAAAATTGTTTATTCACATTGTACATTATCTTGATATCAAAGTCCTCACTATCAGTTGATAGTCACACATACAAAGGAGACTTATCAATATGAAATAAAAGCAGCCTCATGACCCAAATTGAAGTCTCCTTTATAAATTCCTTCAAAAAGTTAAACAGCTGAATGAACTACTTCCTTTGAAGTGCCTGATGAAGGAGTTCTCGTGCAGTGCAAACACAAGGCTAGCTGGAGGTATGCACATTTACTTGCTTTCATACACTCCACCCCAAGTACTCACGAAGACAGCAAAATGACCTCCTGCAGAAGAGTTCATAGGAAGTCTACAGGAAATGCTTGGCTGAAATTAAGATCAAGAGAGGCTTCAAAACATTATAAAATGATAATTACATCATGTTTAATTCCTGCTTCATCAAAAAACCAAAAACTTATCTGCATCTCTTACTGCTATACTACAATGCACAATACTACATTAAGTGTATTTCTCAAATAATTTGCAAACACCAGCTCACGACCTACACAGAAAACAAGACACCAGAATTTTTCTGAACTGGACAAGCTATGTCTGTTTCCTTCCCAAAATACTCCTCTAGTAAGACCATACATGCCTTGATTTTAACTTTTTTCACAGATGTTTTTCCAAACAAAAAAACAAGTTGTCTGACAGCGTTGCTAAGGGCTCTAGAAGTAACCTGTCTTTCAGTTCTTCTCCCAGTAACTTCTCATCTGAAGCACTGACCTTTCTAAAAGGAATAGATGGTAACTTTTGGACCTTGTTCTTCTCCTGTACAGGTTAAATTAAGCATATTGCAACTATCTTACAGCAGATCCATTCAAGCCATAGTGAAAATTGTATTCTATACCTTAAGACAAACTCTCTTCTCTGTTTTAGCAGGCAAGTTGCCTTCATTGCTGCTATTTACACTGTAATCAAAGAAAAAGGAAATAATTTTGAAGAACCAAAGACAGACAAGTAGCATTCATAACACCTACATGCAAATAGAACACAATGCATAATATGTGGGTTTTGTCAACCTCTATTCCTCCTCCAAGAGAGGTAGAACAGCAAATTTATCAGTTCCCTGTCAAATCTGGTGTTTTTTCTTTTGATCAAAATGGAAAAGAAATCTTGGACTGTTATTGTAGAGTTCTGCTAACACTGTAATCCCAAAACAACAATAGGAAATTTTTTGTTTTAAAAGTTGCTATTTCAGTTGAATATATAAGTAATACCCAGATAACATATCTGACAGATTGTTCCTGTGTTACCCCCATTCAGACAATGTAGCAAAACTTTTGGGGGAAAAAAACCACAAAACTTCTAATAAATTTTGATTATGGATTTGCTTTTGAATATATACCTGGCTGCAGATTCACCAAACTGCAACCATCACTTCTTACTAGACTGTCAGCTTAAACACTCAGATCACCCCCCCTAAGCTGTCCCAAAGCCAGCCAGTCAATTTGTACCCTGTTAGATCCTAATGGAGTTTACATTAATTGAAAAGGATTAGGGAGTGATCTCTTGAGCATCTACACTGGCAAGTCAAAAAGTGATGAGCAGCCAGGGAATGGCCTGGCTGAGAACTTCTAATGGCAGCTGTGCTCATCAAAGATAAAATATCCACAAAGTTCACTGAGGCTACACTTAGATTCAAAGTGTGCCTCATCAGAGCCCATTGAAGACAATCTATTAACCATTCCACTGCTGAAAAGTGCAGCCTCATTTCTCCTCCCTTGCCTACATCATCAACAGCAATAAAAGTCTGTGATAAGCTGGTATTCTTTCTGAATGCTCACATAGCTCTGACACAAGGGAAAAAAAGGTGTTTGCTTTAAGCCTCATTACAGAACACCTTCAGAACTTCAACAGTATCTTTCAAGTCACCCTTGTAAAGCAGCAGAGCCGAGTTTTCTGACAAGTATGGCATAATACAGTACCAGCCTAAGAATAAGCAAGATATTTTACTGTAATAGTGTCTTTACATTGTCATTTATGTTGTATCAGAAGGGATACTATTTTTCTGCAAAGATTATTTGGCAGAAATTTCAACAAACTTACTTTTTAACTGGTTCACATACAACACTATGTGCTGGCCAATCTTTTTTCTGACAATCCACAGAGCAATAGTAAATTTGCTTGCACTGCGAACACCTTAGTGACCCTAAAAAAAAAAGACAAAAAAATATTTATTTCAGACAATAGATTCCATGGATTATTTGCTTTACAAGACATTTCCACTACAATTCTAAGCATCAACAAATAGGGATTTGTATTAACACATAGCTGTCAGGCCTTTCTGCACCCTATGTCCCAGATTCCCTCCATATTCAAGAAGGGGAAAAAAAAAGACCCAAAATACATTTGCTTAGAGATGTCCCTAACTCAAACTATGTTCTGAATAGTCACTACACTTAAACCTGAGAGATCAAAAAGGTCCTAAAATGAATGCATATTTTTAACAAACCCTCTGATCTGTTTTCATTGCTAAACACACTATGCATCACAGACTGTGGGACAACAGCACTTACCAAACAGGCCACAATGATGGCAAGTAGTCTTTTCAGGGGGTGATACTACCAGACTGAAGAGACTTTTATCATAGCCAATAGAAAAAACATTCTCAGATGAATGCTGCGATTTCTTTGGCTTCTCATGACTCAAATCAGAGGGCGAGCCCTGTGGAAAGAAGTGATTCTTACTCCAAAAAAGCTGCCCATTAGGATAGAAATATTTTAATGCTCCCAAATATGACAACAAAGAGCCAAAACTTCAAAATTGTGGAAGAAGCAATATAAGCTGATAATTTCTATCTAGAAATGCTCGGAATATTCGGGGCAGTTACAAAGTGCAGTAACTCACAGTATTTCCTTTCTCAGCTGCAGCTGCAAACCGCAAGTTCCCTCTGCCCGTCAGGCGCTCCATGGAACCTCCTAGAGCAGAAGAATTTGCAGAGGGCTCTGGTTAGCAGCACTGACATGTGCCTGTGTTACAAAGCACCTGCAGGAAGACCAAGGCTTGTACCTACTTGTACTGTTCTGCTAGCACGTTTGAGCAAATGGAGATGGCAGGACCACCACACACTCTGGAAGCCGCTTCTTATCATGCTGATACTATGATTATTCAAACCTGCCATCAGTGGTATTATTAAAGTGACACTTCCATGCTCTATGCTTATCAGTCAATGTAAGTCTTAATGTCCTCCACCCAAAAGTTTGCTTCAATTAAAGTTGTTCAGCAAGAACAAATTCGCATGGTTTCCAATATTCATGGGGCAAAAATTTAGACTAGACAATTTTACAGTAGCTGAAACAGTACAAGTTTCCTTCAATACCGTTGAACATGTGGCCAATGTGAAGTTTATGCTTGTACCTAACTTTGTCACATCAACAAGCATGCAGAAACAAAATACTCTGGAAAATCAAAATCTCTTGTTTCAATCAGTGCATTCTGTGTCTTGTGGTCTTCACAGAATCATAGAATGATTTAGGTTGGAAGCTACCTTTAAGTCCCAATCCCCCTGCCATGGGCAGGGACACCTCCCACTAGACCAGGTTGCTCAAAGCCCCATCCAGCCTGGTCTCTATTTTATCACTCTTGTGCTGCAGTTAAAAGCTTTCTCTACTCTTTCTACACTTGGCAAAAAGTACTCTGTACTGTTTGTTCACAAAATGTTGAGTTTTATTAGAGATTTTAGAAACCCACCCTTGAAATTGAGAGCTTTTCTAAAAGAATGTGGTACCTGTGATTCTGCTACTTTAACCTCCACCTACAACTTTATCACATTTTCCTTCATATGAAGCAGTTCCATATCACATAAATGTTTGCAGCAGAGTGGGATGCAAAGAGGCTGCAGGATGAAAGTAGGGATTTAAAGATTCATTCATGCAGGCACACAAAGGCATTTTTAAGTTATGTTCTGAAGCTATATTTAAGGATCCACATAAGAAGGCTAATTCTCTACAGTCTATTTGTTTAATTTTGCACACTAACAAGTAAAATACTTTCTGCATTAAAGAACCCAATGCTCCAGATTACATGAGAGAAGTGCTTCAGGAGAACACATTGCCAAGCAAGAGTGGCTACCACCAGCCGCACACTAAGGTAGCTGGATTCTCAGAAGCCATCTCTGGAGAGGACACCTCGCTCCCGCTCAGACAAGCGGCCTCTCCACTGAAGCCCAAGCTGCACTCCGGGCTCCTCACAACCAGGGCCTGGACAACCTCCAGCTCCTGAGCAGCCAGAGCCCATGGCCACGGGGAACCGCTGCACCGGGCTCCACCAAAATGAACTTCAGGCACCTGCCTTCCCAACGCTAACAAGCAATGTAATTACTTTAAATACCCTTGCTACATTATAAGAGAAAAATTAAATTAAAAGGAATTTGCAAATAAAGCGGAGCATTCTTTGAATTAACGTTGCGACCAAGTCAAGCAGAAATGAGCTTCCCCAACGGCCTCCGAGCGGCACCGCTCCGCGCCACGTCCTGTCAACCAGAGCGCAGCTCAACGTCCCCACATCGAGCCGCCCGCTCCCGCCCG